TTGGTTTTGATAACCTTTTTCTTTTTTTTTTTTTACTTATTATTATTTTTTAATTTATTTATTTTTTATATATAAAAATTATTTATATTTGATAATCAAAATTATTGGTAATTTAGATTGTATAAAAATAGATAAATGAAAATATATTTATACTATTTTTAAATGTTTTTTTTTTTTTTTAAATTTCCATATAAAGTATACTAATATGTGTTTATTATTAAATTGCTTTGAAATAATATGATTACTAGTAGTAATGTTATGTGTGTATTTGTGGGGTGGGTGTGGGGTGAAAGAGGAAGAAATATTTGTAGGGGTATCTTTTGTTTGTTTTATTAGGTAAATGTGTGAGAGTGTTTTTGTGACTATTTTTTAGAAGGATTTTAATATTGGGGAAAATAGTAGTAAAATTTAAATTTTATAATTAAATAAATTTAAATTGAACTTTTTTAATATTGTTGTAAATATTATGTATTGGACACTACAATTTTTTAGATTGTATTTATATTATTAGATTATTGTTTGTATAAAAATAAACGCTATTCTTTATACTATAATTTTATCTGTAATTGTGTGAAATTAATATTTTTAAATTTTTTGGGTAACAAATTTTTTGGATATTTTATTAAATAATTATTATTATTTTATTATTATTTTATATTATAAATTTGTTTTTTTTGAATATCATTTGAAATATAATTAAAATTTATTTATATATGTGTTTATGAATAAAAAAAAAAAAGAATATGATCGTTGTTTTTAAATTGAAAAAAATTATAAAAAATTAAAAAAAAATTAATGGAATTTACCAATAAAAAAAAAAAAATTAAAAAAGATATTTTTTTATTAAAAAAAAACAAATTTTGAAATTAACTGAAATTAATCAAAAAAATTGTTTTATAAATATAAATTATTTATATTTATAATTTACATATATAGTAAGTATATATATAAAACTTAATTTCAAAACCAATTTTAAACAAACAAAAAAAAAAAATAAAAAAAAAATAAAAATAAAAAAAAAAAAAAAAAAAAAATATTAAAACAAAATTATTTTTATAAAAATTTTTAAAAAATTTTTTATTTATTTTTTTTCGTTATTTTATTTATATTTAAAAAATGGAAAATATCGAAAACAATGAAATAAATAAAGATAATAACATTGAAAATAATATAGATGATAAAGATGAAAATAGTAATAGTGATAATTTAAATAATAATACAGAAAATAATAATACAGAAAATGATAGTGATAATTTAAATAATAATAATAATAATAATAATAAAAGAAAATTATCAACATTATATACAGATGATAAAGAGAATCCAATTAAAAAAGTTTATTTAAGATATCATCAAGATAAAAGTAATTTGGTTACAGTTGAAGATCCAAATAATGTTGAAGATAGTTTTACAATTAATAAGAAATTTATTCAAGAGGATGGAAGTATTTTATCAAAAAGTCAGTATAAGAAAAAGATTGAAGATTTTAATAGAAAGAAAAAGATTGAAAATAGAAAAGCAAAAAAACAACAAAAACGTGAAGATACTCATAAAAAGAATGAAGTTGATGGTAATATTACAAAAGAGTTATTAGGCGAAACCAATTTTTATTATAAAGATTCACTCAGACATATTGAGCCTTATCAATTTACATTTAAAGTTTTTGCAAAAGAAAGATGGTTTGGCCAAACAGTTTTAGATATGTTTACAACAGAGTTTTCAACCAATTCAAGAGATGTTTATTTAAGAAAGATTAAAAGAGGTTTAATTAAAGTCAATGATAAGATGGTTTCACCAGATTTCAAAATCAAATTGAACGATATTATTTTACATAGTGTTCATAGACATGAACCACCAGTAACTGGTGATAAAATTAAAATTGTGGCAATGGACGATCAAGTTGTAGTTATAGATAAACCATCATCAATTCCAGTTCATCCATGTGGAAGATTCCGTCATAACTGTGTATTATTTATATTGGCCGCAGAACATGGCATTAACGAATTATATGGTGTCCATCGTTTAGATCGTTTAACTTCAGGTTTATTAATGTTGGCTCGTACTCCAGATGCTGCTAAAAAGAGGGCTTCACAAATTCAATCTGGTGATGTATCAAAACAATATTTTGCAAAAGTGGTTGGTAAATTCCCAATAGGTACAGATTTACCTGATGGTACAGTCATTGTTAATCAACCAATTGTAATTCAAAATATGCGTTTAGGTATAAACCATGTAGGTGAAGGTGGTAAACCTTCTGTTACCCATTTCAAATTATACTCTTATGACGAAAAATCAAATCAATCAATTGTTTTATGCTCCCCAAAAACTGGTAGAACCCATCAAATTAGAGTACACTTAAAATGGTTAGGTTACCCAATCACAAATGATCCATTATATAATAATGACTTTAGAGATTCTTTTAAAGCTTTAACAAGTGATGGCACAAGTTATTTATTTGATGAAGAAAATGAAGATAAAGAAAATAAAGAAAATAAAGAAAATAAAAACAATGGTGAAATAATTTCAAATGTAACAAAAGAAGAATTGGAATTTATAGATGATGCATCAGTACCAATTAAATGTAATGACTGTTCAATAGTATGGTCCGATAATAAAAAATTTTCATTTGGTATTTATTTACATGCTTTATCTTATGAATCCTCAAATTGGTCTTATAAAACTGATTTGCCAGAATGGGTTAAAGATGTATCAAATTAATAAATAAAATGTAACTTTATTATTATTTAAATTTTAATAAATAAAAAAACTGTAACTTTATTATTACCCATTTTTTTATAAATATTTTTTTCTTTTTTTTTTCTAAAATTTTTTTTTTTTTTTTCAAATTATTTTTATATTTTATAAATTAATTAAAACTTTGGTATATTAAAAAAAACTATGGATAATCAAATTTGTTTTAATATTATATTAATTGGTGATCATTCTTATAGGAAAAAGTACATTAGTAAGAAGATACACACAAGAAAAATATTTCCCAGAAGAACAATGGATTGGTGTTGAATTTAGAGTTAAAATTGATAATATTAAAATTGAGGATAACCAAGATGAAATTAGAATAAAACAAAAAATATTTGATTTTAATGGTGCATGTAGATTTATACAAATGACAAAAGAAAGTTTTTATAAAAATGCAAATGGTTTTATTTTATGTTTTAGTAATTCAAATAGAGATTCATATAATCATTTAATAGATTGGATTAATGATATTAATACATATTATGAATATTCAGAAAAAACAAATTTTAAAAAACCAACAATTTTAATTATAGGTTTAAAATCTGATGAACCGTCTCAAGTTGAACCTGAAGAGCTTATAAAATTTTGTGAATCATTATCAATACCATTCATAAACTCAGTTTCATCAAAAAATAATATAAATGTAGAAAATGTATTTAAAACAATATCAATTTTAATTTATAAAAATGGTTCTTTTAATATAAATAATAATAATAACAATAATACTAAAAATAATAATTGTTTATCTAAAATTTTTAAAGTTTTTAAATAATTATATTTTCTTTTTTTTTTTTTTATATATCTATAAAAAAAAAGAAATATAAATAAATATAAATAAATAAATTTTTATTTCCCCCCCCCTTATCTTCCTATAAAAAGAATAATCATTGTTATTATTATTATTATTATTATT